CATAACAAATTAATTCTAGAAAATTTTACTGTGCGAAATAAATTTATAAATATTAAAACTATTTAAATAAATATAATTTTGGTTTTTAAATTGTAGGAAATTATAGGAAATTGAGAAAAATACAAATACTCTTTTAAAAATAATAATTAAGTATTTTAAAATTCTAAAAAATTATTTTAATTAATATCAAAATTTCACGGTCATTACATCCTACACCCCTTAAAACAAATTTCGCCCTCGGAATTAAACCCAAGGACAGAGATATGGAACAAGAGTTGGTACTTGCAAATCAACGAGACAAGAAATAATGAGAAGCTCTAGAGTCAAGGGTGATAAAGCAAGAATGGAAGAAACAAGAACTTTATCTAGTATAGAAGGAAAATACATCAATGGAAGAAACAAGAACTTTATCTAGTATAGAAGGAAAATACATCTAAACTAGCACTCATAAATAATTCATATCATAATATCATAAGGCAATGCGGAATAAGAAAGTTCATACGTAAATAAAACTAATAATAAACTATTTATCATAATATCATAAGGCAATGCGGAATAAGAAAGTTCATACGTAAATAAAACTAATAATAAACTATTCTTACCGGTGATAACTTGGCTGTTCGCCTCTGCTTCCACAGCTGACATCGTGAACATCTGACGAGGTTTCTTACCGGTGATAACTTGGCTGTTCGCCTCTGCTTCCACAGCTGACATCGTGAACATCTGACGAGGTAGTTGCTGCCTTCGCGCTTCCTGATAAACCTGCTGCTGTTGAGGAAGAGGCTCTGCTCGAGGATAGGGTCCGTGCTGAGCTGGAGCTGCTGAGTCTAATCGAGGTGGAGCTGGAAGAGCCGCTCGAACTGGAGGTGGGGGCAAGCTGGCCTGCTGACATTGCGGACATTCCCGGTTAACATGATCAGGGGACCCACAGTTATAGCATAGACGAAGACGCCTAGGGCACTCCTGCTGGGTATGCCCAGTGTAGCTACAATAGGAACACTTCACCAATGACTGGCTCTGAGACTGCACTCCACGACCCTGATAAGGATGAGCCTGATGAAATGGCTGACGCTGAGAATACTGCTACCTCTGCGGGTTCTGCTGCTGCTGCCTCGGAGGGGGACGCTCGACATTCCGGGCCGGAGCTGCTGCTGTCCTGCTCTGAATCATGTGTGAGTCTTTAGGCTCGTTATGCATGCTTTCAATCTCCCGTGTTGCATCTAGTACTGCATCATAAGTCCCCAAAGCTCTACCTGCCAGAGCCATCCTAATGTACTTGTCCAGACCCTTCTGGAACTGATGCCTCCTAATCGTCGGGTCTGTAACAAGATGAGGAGCATATCGACTCAGGGAGAAAAACTCGGCCTCGTACTCATCTACTGTTCGCCCTCCTTGCTTGAGCTCCACAAATCTTCGCAAAAGATCATCCCGAGCTGACTGAGGAAAGTACTTCCTGTTGAAACGCTCGGTGAACATCTCCCACAAGATGGGCCTCTCTAAATGAGTCTTCTCTGCAGTCCACCAAATCTGAGCGGTGTCAGTGAGCTGAATATCCATGAGGTCCACCCATTCAGCATGGGGGATGCGGGTCACCGTGAGAATAGTCTCCGTGACCTTGAGAAACTCCTCTGCTGCTAAAGGTCCCTTGGCACCAGAAAAGGAAGGAGGCCACATATATCGAAACTCTCTAACTCCAGACTCTACGCGAGGGGGAGGCTGGTGCTGCGGCTCCCTGTGAAGTTGTCCCGCCAAGTACTGCTGATTCGCGGGCAATCCCTGAATCATTGCCAGAAGTTGGCTCGGATCCACTTCGGGCTGTGGGGCACTGCTACTAGATGGGTTATCGTTACTACGAGTACCCACCATGATTCTGAAGGAACGAGGATCAAAAGGAAAATTATGGTTAAAATCAAATAATATATTTGGAAAATAGGAACTAAAACATAGTTATTAAAATAACAGTATAAGAAATTAATTATAGTCTAAAATAATAATATAAGAACTTAATTGTAGTCTTACGGATGAAATATGATATGTATCTAAATTGTCTACCATATTCTTATTAGTGAGGACTCGGGACCGTGACCTGCATGGGCCACCACTAAAACCTGTCACGCCCCGCTTCCCAAAATACCGGGGAATTGGGACGCGAACAAGCCCGCGACGTATTAGACTGAGGAGAGATAAGTGCTAGACCCCGTCTTCTCAATCTAATACGCTAAGCGTCTGGAAATAAATACAAACGAAGTCATAGGTCCCCGATCACACATAGCAAGAACATAATGAACAACTCAGAATGGAAAAGATACATATCACAAGTAGAATATCATCCGGGACACAGAGATGGGTCAAACACGCCCTTATTACAAAACGGTCCAACAAAAATATAAAATACATAGTGTAAAACCCCGAAAATTTGAATACTTTATGATAAATATTAATAAATATGTTATACATTTATAAATAATATATTATGATGTTTGAGTATGCTAGGAATTGATTTGAGATCAATTCAATGTATATATGTATATATGTGAGTACAAATACACAAATCATGCACAAAGGCCAAGAGCGAGAATCTGGGAATTTTGACCAGTTGAGAGTTTCTATGTTTTTCACACCGATTCATTAGGAATCTGGAAAGGTGTATGATACCAAAGTTGTAGGTATCTTCAAGAGCTTTCCAACAAATCTTAGATCACGTTATTCCGAGGTCGTATGAGAAAGTTATAGGTAAAATACCGAAGGCGTATTTTCCTAGTCAGACTAGGTATTATATATTAGATCTTTTTTTATCATGACCTTCTTGGCCCATTTAGATTTTATGATAGTATGATTAAGGTCAAGATTCCCATGATTGTGGCTGGCTGATAGAGTGCAAACTTGTTTGACACCAACAAGAACTGCAGGATCCTTTCAAGCTGTGGTCATAGTATAGCTTGAAGCCAGGTTCAGGACAAGTCAAATGGATGGCAAAATAAAATTAATGGTGACTCATCTATGTCGGCACACAAGTCACATTTGAAATGTTGCACCTCGGAGGGACCGTTTTGTCTGCTTTTTTCTACATAATTTGTTGTGAATTAGATTCTGAACAAAATGCTAACAAAAAAATATGTAAAATTTTGTTACGCAATTTTATTTGAACGAATTATTTTGTGTATAAAAATTGGATCTTTTGTATATATGTATGAAGACTAGGTCTTTTCATGTTAAAGAGATTAAGCACGAATTTATAGAAGTGTTTTAAGATCTGAAAATAATTTAAAATATCATTTATCTGAATTTAGATGTCTTATGCTTCGTTTTAAAGTTTTGTGCATGATTGAAGGTTTACATATGATTTCTTGTGCAAATAATCATGCTTGTTATGTTCTGCTGAAAATCCAAAATTGAACCAAACTAATGCCAATTGAAAGATATATGAATCTAGTTTTGAAAACAGAAAACCATACCTAAAGATAGTTTTCCTAGAGAAAGATATACTCATTTTACTGATGATATATCCTGCAGAAAATCTGCTGCACATATAAAATGTTTGACTGGAAATTTGAAATATCATATGAACTCCAAACTGAGCCAAATTAGTGTCAAATGATATCTATGTGAGTCTAGTTTCCAAAACGAAAAACTATTCTTAAAAAGAGTTTGTCCAGAGAAAGATATTCTCATTTTACTAATGCTATGTTCTGCAGAAAACTGCAGATGTGCTGATTTGAAATAAATTGATATATTACGTAAAGGTTTCTTGAGTTTCACTCTTGTTTGTTATTTTTAAGAGAGTTTCTCGATCTTGTACTCATACATTGTTCATATATGATCGAGGGTTCTATTGAACTTTTGTTGAACATGAGTAGTTGCCTTGTTTATCGAGTATTAAATTGTAGTATTCATGTTTTCATCTACACATATGAGATGACTTTTCTGACACAAGCTTAGATCTGTACCGTGAGGCATGCACAAGAGTAGAATATGTATACCTTTACTTCTAGTATTCCATGGTTTATATATACAGTCCTCGTGTTGGACTATAATCCATTGAAGTCCTCGTGTTGGACTATAATCCATTGAAGTCCTCGTGTTGGACTATAATCCATTGAAGTCCTCGTGTTGGACTATAATCCACTAAAGTCCTCGTGTTGGACTATAATCCATTTCAGTCATCGTATTGGACATTTACATATTTGACCACGTCTTGGACATTTGTTAAGCTATGAGTATGACACTTATCTAAATCAGGACATGACATGATTACATGAGATTTGGACATGATAGCTACCTAGGCTGTACATGACACTTATGTAATTTTGACCTTTGACACTTATTTGGTTATGACATGACACAGTATTTAAGTTTTGAGATGGGTTGTATTTCTCTTTATTATTGTTCCTGTATTAGATTTTGGGTTTGGTGTTTAGGGATTTACAATTTGAGATACAAGGTATATACATGAGGGTTTCCTTGTTTGGATTATTTCGCTCGACGTACCTATGCTCGTGTTGTAAATCTCTAAATACTAAAATCCTCTTTTGTTAGGATCTATGATTTTAGAATATTATGTATTCACTGTATTTTCATATACAACGAGCCCTATCCTTTGGGGTTGGTTGTGATGATGCTCGCTAGCGCTTTGACGCTCGTTGTCCCTCCCCCTTTCAGGTAACGAGCCAGATGCCCGGAGAGTCGCAGGTCGATGGCGACGCATTTTAGTTTTAGCCGTCTATTTAGTTATATTTTCTTTTGAGCTCCACTGTAGACTTTTGTGTAGACATGTAAGAGTTTTATTCTAGAAATTTTAAAGGCTGTGTGCCTTATTTCCCTTTGTTAGACATTTTGTATTTGAGACTTGTTGAGGACTCCAGTTTATTTATTTCAGACATTTACTTGTATTCCAGTATATTAGATAATGAAATATTAAATCTCTTTTTCATCAGTTGATTAAGATAAATTTTAAATAATTAGTTTTGAACTTCTAAAATGTTATTCCTTTGGATTTAGATACTATTATGTTTCTAAAAGGTAATGTTAGTATGTTAGGCCTCAAATTCTACAGAAAAAAAATTGATGAGTTAAATGGATTATTCACTTGGACAAAATTTGAATTACAGAACACAGCTAATCAAACAGCTAATTTTCTTGTGTCCACTTCCTTCAGTTTTGCGGAAATAGAAGCAAAATCTGCAGCAATAGAGATCTTAATGAAATGCCTGCCAGATTTATGTCCTTTGAGTCAATGTCAAATGAACAAATTAATCCAGTTTTGATAGGTACGATATTCAACAGTACACAGTCATGAGCACGCCATGGGTTTTGCTGAAATTTCTCCATCCAATTTGTCATGATCATAAAATGAAATGAACAACTCTCTGAAATACAGAGATCTTTCCATCCTGAGAAAAACTCCAATAAAAGAATTCGCATTACGATAATAATCAAAATAAGACACATTTTGTGCTAATTAACCCATTAATACAGGCATAAATCAGATACTTTAGAACTAATTAGATTAAATTAGACTGTGATTAGAGCACAGTAGAACTAGCAGGCCAACATTCAGGCACAATCTGATCCTAGGAACACAATTAGATCCCTTTTAGTGGAGGTACATAATATCACCAATAAATGAGATTGTTCAACCTCTTCCAATGATTATGATTCACTTCTCTTTGTCTATCACCAAAAAGAAAACTGAAGCATTGCTTTTCTTTTTTTGAAAAATTTGGTTAATGACAAGTCGGTGATCAATTAATTAAAGAGTAATGATGTTACTGTTCAAGCATCAAAGGAAAATTAGTGATAAGTCAAAATCAGCCATTCAATCCTAAAAGTGAAGGGCCCCTTCATCTAACAGCGTCAATCTACAGGATAAGACCACTCAAGAATCTGCACCGTTTTCAAATTTTGGTGCCATGTAGTATGTACTATTATCTTTCACCAATTAGGACAATTACTCCATATTATCTTTGTAAAAATTTATGGTATCTTCCCTCCCTTTAGTCCTATAAATAGAGTTCTTTGTGTATAAGTGTTTGGTGAGGGCAAGTGAATAGGCCATTATCATCAATCAAACTCTGTCTCCCTCTATATAAGCTCTCAGGTCTTTTGAGTTTTGCAACCGGAAGCGATAACAAGTCCCTTTACTGCAGTCTGTAAAAATGGGCCGAGGCAGAGCTCCCTGCTGCGCGAAAGTGGGACTCAACAAGGGCTCATGGACTCCAGAGGAGGACATGCGGCTCATTGCCTATATTCACAAGTACGGCCATGGCAACTGGCGAGCTCTCCCGAAATTTGCAGGTAGCTTCATGTCTCAATGGAACGGTTATGTTATATGTATAATTAAGTTAATCAAACTCCTCATTTTAAACAGGGCTTCTGAGATGTGGAAAGAGCTGCAGACTAAGGTGGATCAATTACCTTAGACCTGATATAAAGCGTGGTAACTTTACCAAAGAGGAGGAGGATACCATTATCAAGCTCCACGGATTACTAGGAAACAAGTAAATGAACTAAAATTCTGATTGACTTGTTAGTGCATTGTTAATTATAATATTTTCCTTAATCAAAGGTTCGAACTGGTTTTACAGATGGTCTAAGATTGCATCTTGCCTACCGGGTAGAACTGATAATGAGATCAAAAACGTGTGGAACACCCACTTGAAGAAAAGATTGGCGCCTAAGGAGGAAAAATCAGGAGAAAACCCTGAAGAAATTCCAAGCTCACCGTCGTCAATAACTACTGCCTCTGTTTCTGTGTCATGCTCTGATGAAGGTGAGAGCAAAAAAGAGAAAGAGCAAAATGACAAGGAACAGCATGAAGCTATGGATGACAAAATTGACAAGATTGAGTTATCCGTTGAGCCCAATCTGGACATGTGGGATATGTTGGAGGATTCTTCTTATTCAGAAATAACACACGAAAATGTTGAACCTCCCTCCTCCGACGTGCGAGTAAAAGGTGATGACGGTAATACTCTGGTCGACTTGCCCGAGATTCTGATCGAGCCAGAGATTTGGAATATGATCAATGATGACTTAAATATTGCACTGACAAGGGACACTACTGCTGCTGCTACACCACGAACTCATCATCAAAACATCAAAGCTAAGGGTGAAGATGAGAAAGAGAGATGGCTGCAATACTTAGAGAAGGAGCTAGACTCGTGGGAAGAGTGTGCCGCTGCTACTGCACAGGTGGAGGGGGCAGACCCAGTGGCAAGTTATTTTCAAGCACTGCAAGCTTCACCCTCACCTTTAGATATCTTATATTGATTACAAGTGCCCTCGTGCAATGGTTACAAGGAATATGACTGCAAGAAAATGCGCTTGCTAAAAAATTATACAAAGATTGTAATATAACAAGAATCTTTGGAAGTGGAGGGTGAACATTTTCCTAGCTTCACTCACCAAATCCGATCAATGTTGATCAGTATAAATGTGTTAATTAAAACTAATGCAAAATACAGTGAAGAAGCAGTCATCATAGATTTCTCCTTGTTAATGTGAGTAATCTTTATTTAATATCAGTTAGTTTATGCATGTGGGAATATCTTGTTCTTGAGTATAAACTGAATGAAGGTTTTTCCATTCATTCATGACTTCAGAAAAATTTGAACAGGTCCTTTATAGAAATGTTGGGTATATCTGACTTAGGCCTTGTTCGATGACGTTAAAAAGAGTTGAGGTGTAAGATTATGCATTTCGTTTGCCAAAAAAAATCCGGAAATCTCTTGCCACCTCAACTTTCAAGAAATGAACAAGTGCCACATGGGATTTTGTTTTCAAGAGATTTCCATTTCTCATGTTTGTTTCGTTTTTAATTTTCGAGAAATGAACCGCCACATAGGCTGCCACCTCAAACTTTCAAGAAATGTGTTTTCACACCAAATTGGGCTGAAAACACTTGGAAATGTCCCATCTAAGAATTATTAATTAGTAAAAGCACTGTTGGAATAGTGCAGAATAATAAAACATAATATTTAATACCCCATTTCTCATTTCCTATTTCTTGTTCTCAAACAAACAAAAGAAATAGAAAACTGGGCACTGTTACTATGGAGGCTTTTTTTGTCTGTTTGTGTGACTTGGCATTGAAATGTGGAGTTTTCTTTGCGAAACAAACCAAAAAAAAGAAATCTGGGAAATGTGTTTGAAATGTATTAAAATCATTTCAAGGATGAGTTTTCCATTTCCAATTTTTTTGTGGAAATAACCAAACAGGCCCTTATAGAAGTGGAGAAAGAGGGGATTTTATGTCTGTCAAGAGTTGGACTAATTCCATTCAAATAGAGGAAATTGCATTAGCATTTTCTAAATATATATTTATAATGCTTACATAAATATTTCACAAATATCAACACAATCATTCAGCTCCACAACTTAACACTTGCACTTGTGTGTATTTAGCAATAGCCAATAAGCTTTTAACTCTACTTGTATTCCTTTAAAGAGTAAGAGTATTGGTTGTTTCGTGAATGAACGAATAATATTTCTTTTGTCACCTTAACTACAGACACCTTGTCAATAATAATCAGACGGAATAGTGATTACTGAACATGAAGGTGCCTGGATTTAATCAGTGATATTTAAGGCTAAATTTGCGCTAGCGTACAAATGGGAAGGTACGATCACATCTTTCCTAACACAATTAGACTTGTGGTTGAGAGAATTAGTAAAAGAGAGTTTGGATACCCATATCAGGGCTTCAACATCAATCATAATAAACAAGAACTTTGTTTTCTATTTCTACTTGTGAATGAAGATTGTCTAGCTTGTGGCTTCAAATGAATCGGCTGTTTTAACTGCCATGTGTCCTAATGAAGTGTTTAACATAGAAATTTGTACTGTACTATCAGTAACCAATTGGGATGGTTACCTGTAACTTGAATTATGAAATCAAAGTAATTGGTGTTCATGGCAAAAGAAAATTGTGTTGGAAAGGTCTAGCTTGTGGCTTCAAATGAATCGGCTGTTTTAACTGCCATGTGTCCTAATGAAGTGTTTAACATAGAAATTTGTACTGTACTATCAGTAACCAATTGGGATGGTTACCTGTAACTTGAATTATGAAATCAAAGTAATTGGTGTTCATGGCAAAAGAAAATTGTGTTGGAAAGAGGTGTAGATCAAACCTCTGTTCCGACGGGAAGCTCGCAGCGAGCTCAAACTTGGCGAACACGATCCTCGCGTTGAGCGGCTCGACCCTCGCGTCCAGCTCTGACGCTCGCGTCCAAAATGCCGACCTCCGCGTCTTGGCGATTCCCACGTCCGCGTCCAAAGCGGGTCGCTGGCGACAGGCTGTCGCCAGCCCATCAATCTCGCCTATAAAAGCAAACCCCGATCCCTAGGGTTTGGTGCTTTTTTCTCCCCCGACTTTTCTCTGGCGGCGGATCCTTTTAACGCAGCAACGTTCATCTTCTCAAATCGCAGCAGCGATTTTGCCTTTTTATCTCCAGCACTCAACGGTGTTTGAGGGGAGATTTAAGAAGAGAGAGAGAAGAGGAAGAGGGGATTTATTGTGGGTATTAACACTGTAGCTACAGTGTTCATTTGAGAAATCTCAGTTTAGAGATTTGCTCTTGATTTGTAATTTCTTGTTTGATTAATAAGAAATTGACTGTGTGGCTCCCGAGGACGTAGGCAGTTGCCGAACCTCGTAAATCTTGTGTACTGTTCTCTATTCTGCGTTTATGTTGCATTAGGGGTTTAGGTGTTAAATTCCCAACAACTGGTATCAGAACGTGAAACGATCTAGAGAAAGTCAGAATCAAGTGGGAGCCATGGCCGCAGATGAAGGGAAAGTGAGATTAGAGAAGTTTGATGGATCAGATTTCGGATTCTGAAAAATACAGATAGAGGATTATTTGTATCAGAAAAATCTGTATCAACCTCTCTCGGGGAAGAAGCCGGAGGGTATGAAGGAAGAAGATTGGAATCTTCTGGACAGAAAAGCCCTCGGAGTTATCAGATTGACATTAACTCGCAATGTTGCGTTCAACATAGCGAAGGAGAAGACCACGGCAGGTCTTATGGCAGCACTCTCAAACATGTATGAGAAGCCATCAGCCGCGAACAAAGTTCATTTGATGCGGCGGTTATTCAATCTGAAAATGGCGGAAGGCGCGTCAGTAGCACAACACCTCAATGAACTTAATACGGTTACAACCCAATTGAGTTCAGTTGAGATTGAGTTTGATGATGAAGTTCGGGCGTTGATACTTTTGTCTTCCCTACCAGAGAGTTGGAATGCTACAGTCACAGCTGTGAGTAGCTCGTCGGGAAAGAAAAAGTTGAAGTTCGGCGACGTTCGTGATTTGGTTCTCAGTGAGGAGATCCGACGGAGAGAGTCGGGTGAAGCTACAACCTCTTCAGTATTACATACAGAGTCAAGAGGTAGAAATTCAACCAGAGGAAACGGACGAGGAAAATCAAACTTCAGAGGTAGATCAAAGGACAGGAGGTCCAAATTAAGGAATCCAAGCAACAGCTCGAAGGCTATCGAGTGTTGGAATTGTGGGAAAACCGGGCACTACAAGAATCAGTGCAAGGGTGCACAGAAGGAGTGGGAGGCAAAGGTAGATATGAATGTTGCTTCCACCTCAGGAGGAGATGATGCGTTGATATGCTCTTTGGAGAGCAAGGAGGAGTCTTGGGTGTTGGACTCGGGAGCATCATTTCATGCTACTTCTCAGAAAGAATTCCTCGAGAAGTATATCCCCGGAAACCTTGGAAATGTATATCTTGGTGACGATCAAGCATGTGCCATTATTGGCAAAGGTGTAGTGAAGATTAAGCTGAATGGGTCGGTATGGGAGCTGAAGGATGTCAGGTATATTCCCGACCTGAAGAGGAACTTAATCTCAGTAAGCCAGCTGGCTAGTGAAGGCTACACGATGACTTTCCATAGTGATGATTGGAGGATTTCGAAAGGCGCAATGACGATTGTCAGAGGCAGGAAGACTGATACCCTGTATATGACAGCGGGTGCACGTTGTTCGATCTCAGTTGCAGCAGGCAATGAGACTTCAAAGCTGTGGCACCAGAGACTCGGTCATATGAGTGAGAAGGGAATGAAGATCATGCACACAAAGGGAAAACTCCCAGGACTGCAGTCAGTGGAGATGGATATGTATAAAGAATGCATACTTGGAAAGCAGAAGAGAGTTAGCTTTCAGAGAAGTAGCAGACCCCCCAGGAAGCAGAAGCTAGAGCTTGTTCACTCAGATGTTTGGGGACCAACAACCACCGCGTCTATTGGTGGAAAACATTACTTCGTGACTTTTATTAATGATCACTCTCGGAAAGTGTGGGTCTACTTTCTGAAGAAAAAGTCAGAAGTGTTTGAGGTTTTCAGAAGATGGAAAGCCATGGTCGAGAATGAGACCGGTCTGAGGGTAAAGAAACTCAGAACAGACAATGGTGGTGAGTATGAAGACACCAGATTCAAGAAGTTCTGCTGTGAGCATGGTATCAGAATGGAGAGGACCGTGCCCGACACGCCTCAGCATAATGGTGTGGCTGAGCGCATGAATAGAATGTTGACAGAGAGAGCCAGAAGCATCCGTATACAGTCAGGTCTACCGAAGCAGTTCTGGACAGAAGCAGTCAACACAGCAGCTTACTTGATCAACCGAGGTCCATCGGTTCCATTGGAGCACAGAATACCAGAGGAGGTATGGTGCGGAAAGGAGGTAACCCTCTCACATCTCAGAGTTTTCGGTTGTGTAGCTAGAGGTATGGTGCGGAAAGGAGGTAACCCTCTCACATCTCAGAGTTTTCGGTTGTGTAGCTTATGTGCATATTAGTGATCAAGGCAGGAATGAGTCTGATCCCAAGCCTAAGAAATGCACATTCATCGGGTATGGTGAAGACGAGTTCGGCTACCGTATTTGGGATAACGAAAACAAGAAGGTGATCAGGTGCAGAGATGTGACATTCAACGAGAAGGTGATGTACAAGGACATGCATAAGACAGATGACGGTGACTCAGAGAGCGAGTCAACATTTGTAGATACAGATGATGTTCCGGATAACCTCTCGAAAGAACCCAATGCAGAAGGTCCTCAGCCAGAAGAGACTGTTGGACAGAATGGTGCGTAGAAGCCCAACGCACCAGCTCCGATATTAAGGAGAAGTACTCGTCCTTCTGTGCCTAACAGCAGATACATGAATTATATGTTGCTGACAGATGGAGGGGAGTCTGAAAGCTTTGATGAAGCTTGTCAGAGTGGAGATGCGAGCAAGTGGGAGTTTGCTGCGAAAGAAGAGAAGAAATCTCTGATCTCCAACCAGATATGGGGACTGGCTGAGTTGCCCATAGGGAAGAAGGCACGTCACAACAAGTGGGTGTATCGAGTGAAAAAGGAGCAGAATGGTTCCAGAAGATACAGAGCCCGACAAGTTGTCAAAGGATTTCAACAGAATATCCAAGGAAGAAAGAATCCAGCGGATATTATAGGCTGTCTAAAAAAATCACAACAGATAGTTTATCCCCATCAAACA